AAGTTAGAGGCTAGCCTACTCTACAGGAAGATCCTATCTAAAAAAGTAAAAACCCAAGGCTGGAGGGATGGCTCAGCAGTTAGGGAGACTGCTGTTCTTACAGAAGACACACAAAACGACAGGTGAGGTGATTCACAGCTGCCTGGAACTCCAGTTCCAAGAAATCTGACACTCTTTTCTGGTCTCTCTGGTCAGGCACACATGCATACACAGAAATAAAAATTAAGATGGTAGGGATTTAAGAGGGGGAGGAAGCTGGATGTAACAGTGTGTCCAGGCCTGTCACATTATTCTCTTTGAAGCAATAGTGGTGGGTACCTGTCATAACACATTTGTCAAAACTCACAATGAACAACCTAAAGCAAAAGAGTATATAGACTCAGTTGACAATTGTGTCGATGTTGCCTTATCAGTTGTGGCATCTGTGCTGTGATGATGGGAACTGCCAAGGCTGGCAAAGCCTCGCTCCCTCCTTCCCCTTTTGTCTCTCTCCTCCCCTTTCTCTCCTCCCTCTCCTAACTTGTTCTCCTCTCTATCTTACTCTCCCTCTTGCTTTCTCTCATTCTCTCTTCCTCTCAAACAGTGTGTGTGTGTGTGTGTGTGTGTGTGTGTTTGCATGTGTGTTTGTGTTGGATGGGGAAGATGGTTTTGTGGGAAATCTCTGTGCTTTCCACTTAGTTTTGCTGTGAGCATGAAACTATTATTAAAAAAAACAAAATGTGTTTAAAAATATGACTGGGTCATCATCAAAGTATTTTTAGGCTCCTGCAGGTGCAGAAACTGGTGAGGGCAGTCAGCCTGCATCAGCATTCTGCAGGACAGAGTAGGGGTCACCTTCGAGCATTTCCCCACAGCAAAGTGGGGATTTTCTTTCTTTCTTTTTTTTTTTTTTTTTTAAATGATTTTTGTGGTGAAGCATTGAGTCCTTTGAGGACCCGGGACAGAGTCAGCTAACAGCTGTGCACCAACTTCCTCAGAAGCCTCCCAAAGGCATGGGAACACTCAGACTCCTTCTTCCCAATACTCACTCCCTCCTGGAACCCAGACTTGGATCTGCTGTCACTGAGTTCATGCCTTTTCCACTCACTACTTGGTTGTACGCCTGCCCTCACCCATTCTTGGTACTGTTCTGTTCCATTTTATGCATTTTATGTTTTTCCAGAGGGCTTAATTCAGACATCAGTAAGCATTCTGTCCTTTGTCTTCTCCCCTCCGAGTCTCCCTACATCAGTGGGTTCTGGTCGGAGTCACACACAGAAATCATTTAGAGAAATTGAAACACTCAGGACGTGAGGAGTTGGCATTCTCAGATCCCAATTAACAGATCACTAGGCAGTGTTCAGTTCCCCAGGTGACTCAAAGAGCAGCCAAAGTTGCAAAAGGTCGTGACAAGCCCTTGACATTTCCCCAAACTCCAAACACTCCTCCAGCTAATCATAACAGCAAAGTAATACAACTGTATAAAATAGAATCAGAAATATAAAATCATGAGTTAAACTTCAATAACGTTTAAAAACCAGGCTATAGATCATCATAGCTCCTATAGTAGATTCTATGTAAATAATCTGCCTTTCCCCTACTGCCTCATTATCCAAATCAAGCCAGCTACCTTAGAACCACGATGCTGAAGAAAATTCCTGTGTTCTAAAAGAATGTGTACTATGTAACAGGTATATCTTTGGTATATTAAAAGGCTCTGTTTTTGCAGTGTGGGCCATCTCTCAAATGTATGTACTGCTGTGTCCCTTGTCGTCCAACCCCTGTGGAACTCCCAGCATACCTCTCACTCTTCCCCACCTTCTTTCCTTTCATGATATCAGCCAAACACTGTAGTCCTAGGGACACAGCTTCCTCCCATCTAGGAACCTCTGTACTTGAGAGATTCTTTTCAGGAGCCATTCCGTTGGCTCCACATGCCTTTGGTTTCATCTGTAATATCACTCTTTCCTAGGGAGAGGCTGAGGCTGTGTGCCCTCTGACATAGAGGTTCTCTGCAGCATTGTCACTCAGCAGACATTTCCAGCAGCTACAATGACAGGGTGTGACTGGTTCACAGTGGGCAGACTAGAGATTCTGCTAAGGTCTCAGTTCATCCTCCATGTCAGCTTCCTAGTCCCAAATGTCATGACAGGGAAGCTAAGTGTCTTCATGACATCCTCTCTTTCCTTGGAATTAATCAGTAGATTAATGCGCCAGAAATGATGTCCTTTTACATTTATTCCCACCTAACCTGCAGCTTCTCAGGAACTTAGAGTTCAGAAGTGGACTCTGTTGGATCCCTGCTCCTGAGAAGAACACTTATCCCCTGCTTAAATTGTGACAAATTTTAACCCAATCTGCCCATGTCCTATGAGCCTACACATAGTAAGGTGAAGACGGCTAGCCAAAGTCAACTGGTGAGCTAGAAAAAGATAATGGCAATCCAGTTTTCCAAGTGAAGAAACAAATAGTTTTTATTCGTGAAAGTGCACATGGCTGAAGTGAGACAACTACTCAATATTCCATCTTCAGTTTTCTCAAAGTTAGACACACAGCTATCTAAACAGGACTGTTTGCTTCATAAGATGTGTAAAGCTCCGTAAGTTTAAATGTTTAGTCAAGATGTGCATGAAGGTGCCACACACTTTTAATCACAGCTCTTGGGATGCAAAAGCAAGAGGAGCTCTCTGTGAGATCAAGGCCAGCCTGGTCTACAGAGGAAATTACAGGCAAGCTGGGGCTTCACAGTGAGACTTGATCTAAAAAAATAAAAATAAAAACAAAGTATAACTGTTAAGTATTGTAATGCAGCCAGGCACGGTGGTGCACACCTGTGATCACAGAAGTCAGGGAGGAAGAGGCAGGAGGATCTCTGAATTCAAGGCCAGCCTGGTGAAGGAACTGTGTTTAGAACAGTCAAGACTACACAGACAAACCCAGTCTCAAAAAAAAAAAAAAAAAGAAAGAAAACAAAACAAAACAAATAAAAACAACAAAACAAAATAGTAATGGACTGTTCCATTGCCAATTATAGTTAACAGAATCAATGGTGTTTTGAAAATTCAAGATAAAAACATTTTTTTTGAACTTTAACATATTTCATCTTGGATCTTTCCAGCGATCCTCTCAATTAATGATTTTTTTTTCCTATAGTATAACAAAGTTACAAAGATGAAATATAAAAAAGGGAAACATTGTTATTTTAAGGACAGATCAGACAACATACAAAAATAGATTCATGGTTGTAATAATATAAGAAATCATTGACCCAGCTATAACTCAACAGTGGCAGTTACTACAAAATTTGCTAGAGTGGAGACTTGCATTCTGGGATGTTCTTCACTGCTAAAAGATTTTTCACAAGTAACCTTTCATTGCAGTGACCACGCTCTGCCAAGGTAAGTGTGGAAATGACAAAAGCAAATAGATGGGAAGCACACAGAAAAGTTACCCTATTGTTACTACTTACATTATTGCCCATATATATGACATATTTTCCACTGGGTCCCACATACATTGTTTCACAGAATGTCACTAATCATCATGTTCTTGAGTTCAAGCAAACATTAGAAACACTAGGTAGGTCAAACAGACAGATTCCCAGACCCCTTCATGTCTATCATGGGTCTCTAGAAAGACTGCAGAGCAGAGCAGCCATCACAAGCTCAGAGCCCTGCAGCCACCAGGCAGGTATGAGAAGGGGCAGGAAGGAGAGTGTAGAAACAGATGGCCCCATCTAGGGCCTCACCACTCTAGAACTCAGGGTGATCATGACAAACCATTCTAGAAAAGCTACAAATCAGGCTGCCATTATTAAAGCCCTGCTTTGATGTGTGAAATAGAAATTAAATGATTAAAAAAAATAGAAATGAACACCCTCTTGCCAATCTACTCTTCTTAGCAACCAAACATCAACACAACAGCCTTTGCTCACTCTTAGCAAGACCAAATATTTCATTGACTGGGACAAACTGATTCACTATGAGGAAGCTGCTTTGTCTTTCTGAACTAAATTTAAACATAAACATGATCTGAAGACAATTAAAAAAGACAGAAAGAAAATAAATGAAATTAGAACTCTGAAGGAAACCAGTGACAGGCCCAAGCTCTGTCCCACCTGGAATAGGACTTCTCTCAGCTGAGAGCCCGTGTCCTGCTTTCTCATTCCCCTTTCATTTCGTTGCCTCCTTCTAGCACCTACTTCAGAGCTCAGTAGGTGAGTATGGGAACAGTGAACATCAAGACAGAAGTATAGCAGAAATAGCACTAATGAACTCAACCCCTTCATCCATTTCTTCCACTGCTGTCTGCCTGTTCCATAATCACCATGGTGACTTCTCCTGATATGGAACACTGATCCTTATCCTATTATCAACCACATAATAATGTGTCATATTATAACACATATATAACACATATTATAATGTGTCAGAGCTTTGAGAAAGCATGGCCACCTATAGTGGTGGTGCTAGAGTCCCTTCTATTTATCTTTATGAGAGAAATTAAAATCTCTATGTTCCAAAGGTTTTACTCCTTGGGAAAGATAGAGAAAGTGACATTTCAAATTACAACACAGTAGATAAAACATGACCATGAAGTATTTCTAAATTCAGGATGCCCCTTCTCACCAATCTTCACTTTTTATTTTATTTTATTTTTTTACTTTTAATTCCTATTCTCTTTTGTTAATGGTTGTAACAACCAAGACAGAAGTCTTTTTCCTGTGTTACCAATGACTACGTTGACTAAGGAAACACTAAACTCTAACATTTTCATGTTTGAGAGGTTGTGTTACAGGGAGTGGAGACATGGAGGCAGTGTTGATATGAGAGTTAGGGTGATGTTAACCGTGAGTTTGACTATAGCCAGCTCAGGGTCACCCTCTCTACTGCATCTGGAAAAACCAACATAGAAAGTAGTCCCGGGGCTGGAAAGGGTGTTTGTCTCTGTGATATCAGTTGCACTTTCTGTAATTTCAGGCAGAAGGCCCCTCAGAGGGCCACTGTGATCCATTTAGCAGCTCACGGACTGTCTTCAATAATATAGATATTGTCTTTAGCTCTGGGATACATGACCACTGTGTTTTGTGAGGCTCCAGTCGTAGAGGCGTGGAAGGCTACCACACTGCAAAGAGAGAGAGAGAGAGAGAGAGAGGTGTTGAAAGAACAAGAGGGCACCTTGCAGGTCTGAGAAGAACTTTCATGATGACGCATACTCAGGACTCCAGGAGCCCCATGCACAAAAACTGTAACAGCGAAGAGCACCACACAGGGCCTTGGTATTAAGTCATAGAAAAATTTGTTTAATAGGCATCAGACTGAATAAGAATTATTTTTTAAAATTTCATATTTGCATCTTTCATATTACTTATGTAATAGAACACAAACGTGGAAGGTCTAAAAAGACAGATTCTAACATCAAACCGAGGTACCTCATCAAGATATGCATTCTGAAACTGGACTAAGAACTGATTGACATTGGACTGTGACACTTCAGTAAGGGTTAGGAGTGCCTGGTGACCTGAGTGATATCCCTGGAACCTATGGAAATGTAGAAGGAAAGAACCAGCTCTACCATGTTGCCCTCTGACCTCCACAGGTGCCATGACACATCACCCACCACCACACACATCATGTGCAAAACAATACAAGGTTGATTTTTTTTCTAAAGAATTGGTTTTGAAACTTGCACAGGATCTTACATTCTCTGAAAATGAATATACATTTTCAAGTATAGAGTAGAAAAGCATTGAAAACAACAATACAGTGCCTTTCACAGGGGCTGGTGTGTGTGCCATAATTTCAAAGATTACTTCTATGACACTCGTTTGAATATACCGCAGCACAAATTTATCAGTCATGGAACTGAAAGGAATTAATTTGGGGAAAGGACTGCTGGTGTTTATGGCTGGCCCATCCCAACAGCTATGGGAAGGGCTGCATTTGATGAGCTCATTCTGTGCCCCTTTAATCAGGGTAGCCATGGTGGACTGGTATTTGAGCTTCCTAGAACTCATGGAAGAGCAAATCAGAGAAGAAAATAGACTAACTTTAACTCATGAGTGATGGTGGGACATAGCAGAGTTCTGTCACTTGTACACAGTTGTCCATCTACTTCTAAAACCTAGAACCAAAATGAAGTCTCTAGTCAGCCACATAAAGAACTTGCCTGTGCTGAGAGTGATGAAGAAGAGGGAGCAAGTGTCACTCTGCCTGGGACACATGTAGGGAAACAGTGTAGGATCAAGACACTCAGAGGACACAGTATGACGAAACTGACAGAAGTCACCAGGAAGCACCAGAAGGTGTCAAGTAGTGCTTAGTTTGGTTTCCTGGTTTTCTTTCTTGCTTTTTATTTACTCATATTTTATTGTATTTGTTTATTCACTCATCTGGTTTTGTTGCCCTGGCTATCCTGTAACTCCCTATAGAGAACTGGTTGGCCTCAAAGTCACAGAGATCCTCTTGCTTCATCCTCCTGAGAGATGGAATTAAAAGTGTGAGCCACCACACCTGGGTTTATTTATTTTGAGACACAGTGTTTCTAGAAGTCTGGGCTGGCTTAACCTTAGGTCCCTTAGCTTATGGAGTGCTGAGATAACAGGTGTGTGCCACCTTGTCCCCCTCTTTTCCTAGGTGTGTTTTCTCTGATATGCAAAGTTGTCAGATGACAGCCCCTTAATGGTAACCGTTGAAATATCTCCTGCAGCCTGGACCCTACTCTGGGAAGGTGGAGACGAGAGGATCCCTGGGTCTTTCTACTGCCAGAGAAAGCAAACTGTGAGCTGCAGGTCCAAGGAAGACTCTGTCTCAGGGGACAAAGTGAGTGATAGAGAAGGACGCTCCCTCCCCCCACACATGTGTACAAGGACAGCTCATGCCTGTCCTCTCCAGGGCCTTGTCCCTGTACTGTCCGTGTCCACACCTCTACCTATTCCTACACCTATTTTCTCTCTCACATTTCTTAAACCTTAAAAAGAAATAACTTACCAATAAAGGGACAAAAATAAAGACTAAAATGATTCTATGTTCTTCCAACTACAAGAAATACTCTGTTTCCACTTTCAGAAGCAGGTAGTTCCATTTCTATTATATTTCATTTAGCAGCTGGATTTATATGTGTGGGTTCCTGAGCTTGAAGAAGGTGTAGTGTGACCTCGGGTGCTCCTTCGTGTTTATGAGCCTGATTTCTAAAGTGTAGGTTGAGAGTAACAGTAGTTCCTACCTTATAGATTTATTACTGTGAAGGGAAAGCTGTGACTGCAACTCAGTAAGAACTAACTGTGTGAAGCCCTTATGATGGGCTGTCACTGTTCAGGACACGGTCTATGGACAACTCTTGTGATTACCATTGACACAGGTAAACCTATGGATGGCAGCCTGAAGGACATGAATTTTGACTGCAAGAAATGGTTCTTGGTACAGTCAATATGTAATGAAATGAGGAAGACAAGATGGCTTCAGACCAAGGCTGATAACCAGATGGCACAGAGGAGGTACAGGGGACTTCCACTGGAGAGACTAAGAGAGCTTCCTGAACAGACTGAAGGGCCTGCACTCTAGGCTCTTCACTAGAAGGCAGACACTAGTGTGGTGAGGGAAGGAGACCGGAGAGCAGCTGTGGAGACACTGGCCATACCACACTCCCTGCCACCTCAGGAATTACCTCCCTCTAAATCTCCTGCACTTTTGGGGCTCCCTCACACAGCCCACCACTAGAACCTGTCACCCCCATCTTACTTGCCTGAAAGGGCCTGTCAAATAGCTCATTGCTCTTTATCAGTTTTTGGTAGACTAAGTACTCAAAGAAAGAAAACACTGAATGAAACAAGAGTGTGTCAAAGCAACTCATTCAATATCAGCTCCATGAAGCAAAACTCACAATGCAGCATCTGCCTCTAAGAGATTAGAATTCTGTTTCTGATGTTGAGATATCTTCTGTTCCTGTCCCTCAATAAATGTAGATAAATACAAAATGCAGAAAATATCTCTGAGAAGTGAGGATATTAAGGAAGGGTCTCATTAAACTACATTTTGAGATTGAAGGTGCAGAATAGGAGCTGAGCATTGTGAAACACAGCTGTAATTTTAGAACTAAAGAGGTGAGACAGGAGGATTGTGATTTCTAGCCTGGCCTAGGCTACATAGAAAATTCCAGGCCAGTCTGAGCCAAATAGTGAAACCCTGTCTCAAATCATCTAAACAATCATTAAATCAATCAGGAAAGAATGATTTACTGGCAAAGGAGACACAGAGCAAAAATCTCAACTGATAGTACAAAAAGGCACAACCCATAGCAGCTTACCTTAGACACCCTGACTTCTTTTTCATAAGCACGTGCCCTAAATTGGGGTGGAAGATGGCAAGAGAAGTTGAAAGGAGAATTGAACATGTCATCAGAAACACTCATGATATTTTCTTCTAATCAAGGATATTGTTTCTGTTTTTAATTGAACAACCCCCTGGTAGCTTTGGGTAATGTCTTCTTGTACCATACGGAGGATCTTCTTAATCATTGTTTGGTACATTCACCCACCTAGCCTAATTCACTAGAGTGATACCAGTAGACTATTGTTCAGAGAAAGAAACAAACAAGTCTAGATTTCTCTAATGGGCTGCTAGAGAACAAGTCCTTGAGGGGAGAATAAACCACACTGGCATTTACTCGAGTTCTAAGTACTTCTCCCTATTAGACACAATCTGGTAGGTATCCCAGGATGCTACAGACTTGTAGGATGCTAAGATTATAGGCACATGACAGTAGAACCACCTTAAATAGTCATTTTGGATGAACATGTTTTAAATAATTAGAGGAAAAATCTTGAAATCTGACAGGCTTATTCTTGATTCCCTTTTTCTGCCTTGTTCTGTGAATCAGGTCAATACAGAGCTCAAGGGCGGTGACTTGAAGTGTCATTGGCTGATGTTCCTACACAGAGAATGAGCTACACAGCCAAGAGAACTTCCTGCAATTGCACAAACCCTCCTGGAGAGGGCTGTGCAGGCTTGAGTGCCACCTTCCAATAGTCTACCAGTGTTACTCAGCTAACTTTCCCACCAACTTTGACACTTCCTCTTCTACTAAATATGTTCCAAATTTTTTGACAGTATCATTATGGACAACAAACTAGATCCCAAGGGTAGTAGAGGAGAGAACTTATCATAGGCCTTAAAGTCTCAAGCCTCTACAAAATCTCTTCTGTCATAGTATTTAATTTCTTTTAAAGAGGATGTTAATAATGTTTCCCTTTTGATGGCATTTACTGAAAGACAAAGGATGAGCTTAAGAAACAACAGTGTTGTCTAGTACTCATCTGGTTCTTGGGTGCCCAACCAACACTTGCAAGTCATCCTCAGCTAACTCGCAGGTTCAGTGCCAACCTGGACTACATGAGATCAAGTTGCATTAAAACAAAAAGCAAAGCAAAACAAAAGCACTAAAAAAAAATTGTGGGGTTATCTAAAAAACTTGACTAGTATATAAACTCTCTGGTTTTACAGAACAACTTCTTTGGAGATATAGTAACAATGGTTTAAGATCACGGAGCTCTCACCAGTAGCAGAAGTTGCCTGCGGTGCTTTGTAGGTTCTAACGCAACCCTTGGGGCATGGATATGGAAATCATGTGCACTTGCTTAAAGGCTGTTGGAGGGACTGAGAACCCTGGCTCTCCTTCCTTGGAGACAGTCGTGAAGTCACTTACTGGTGATAACCATGGTGCTCAGAAGCAGCAGCAGCACTAGGGCAGCAATGGAGATGCCAACATAGAAGCCCTTAGTCATGTTCATCCTCGGCTTCCGTGTAGGGATGGCTCCCTAAAGAAACAATAAATAAAACAACAGTAGTAATGAATAAACAGCAGTAAATAAACTAAAGGGGCACCAAGGGAGAGGAACAGAAAACATGATAGACCCTATCCCGGCCTGTGGACTGTGGGGAATATGAAGAACTACATAGCATAGATTAGAGAGAAAGTGAGGGGACATATGAAAGGGTTTGGAGCAGAAGAAAAGTAGAAATGATGAAATTCTAATAAATAACTTTCTGAAAAATAAAAATCTATGAGCAGACTATGCTCACAGATACAGCCTGATTAATACCCCATGATCACACAGAAGCAGACTCCACCCTGGTGTCCTGCTGCGGGTGACCAGGGATTACCACAGATGGACTAAGCATGAGACAGGCTGGGCCTCAGCTTAGTCCCTGTCATAGCTCAGCACTAACCTACTACTCTTAAGCAGAGGCCAGGAGATGCTCTAACTGCAGGAAGTGGAGCATGAGGTCAGGTCTTTGCCCATGTCTGAGCCTCAGCTCTGGATCACAAGCCCAGCTCCTGTGCTCAGTCAGTGAGACCATGGACAGGTTAGCTCAGCTTTGTGAGCTCTGTCTCTACAGCTACAAACAGCAGGTTCAGTAGGTAAGGTACTCCCAAGTACTCCTTGGCAAACACTGTGAAGATATAGAGGAAAATCCATTATTTGTTCGGTATTCTGACAGGGTCTTCTCTATCCTAGGCTGACCTGGAACTCACTAGTTGACAATAATGTTGAACCTCTGCTCCACCTGCCTCCACCTCTTGAGTGTTTGGATGACAGGGCTGTCCACCATGCCCATGTGAACATCTACTTCACAACATTTTCCTGATTATGGATGGCCACAATACCTATCCTTTCTCGTTCATCTTCCCAAATTTTGTTCAGTCTTTTCATGAGATAGCATCCAGAAAGTTGACGTGTGCTGCTGTTGCTAGGCATGGGGTGCACACCTTAATCTCATAAGCTAAGAAGTGGAAGTAAGGGGACTGAGAGCTCGAGACCCTTCCCAGGTACATAGTAATTTCAAAGCCAGCTTGAAGTACATGGGATTCTGTCTCAAATACAAAAACAAGTAAACATCTGAAAACAGTACTGAGTGCTGCTGTGCAAGCTTTCAGTGCACCTAGAGACAGTTTGACATATTCAGAATCAAGATTCTTCTTGAGACTTCTTTTAACTTAACTCTACACTATTCCCCCTTGTTGCTTACCAGGACTGTTTGACAGGTGACTGGGGGCAAGAACAATCTCCATATGCTGTGCTCATTTGCTTTATATACAACCATAAGCTGGTCCCTTAGCAACATGTGCATAATGATTTCTGATATTTAACTAGTATACACAGGTTCTTCCCATATATACCAGGCCACTGGTTGCTAATGTCAAATAAGTCATTACTTTTCTTAGTATCAGACTGCGCAAGGTGACACAGGCCTATAACCCCAGTCCTCAGTAGGCTGAGACAGAGAGATTGGGTGTTCTAGGACAGCCTGAGTTATGAAATGAGATGATGTCTCAAAGGAAGGGGCTGTTATGGTGGGATCCACACCTATAATTTCAGCACTTGCGAGATAGAGGCACCAGGATCAGGAGTTCAGGGTTATCCTCAGCTATGCATCGAGTTTGAGGTCACTTAGACTAATTAGTCTCTGTCTCAAAAAACAAACAAAAGAAACTTACTATCTGCATTTATGTGTTTTGTTTTGACTGTCAATAGATAAGGCATAAGGCCATTTGTCCTTATATAGATATCTCCACTTTGGCTTGAATGTTTCCTGTTGCTGTTGTTTTCATTGGGTGGTTTTTGGCAGTTCACACCCAAGAGCCTTGCACATGCCAGCAAGGACTCTGCTGCTTTCAATAATCAAATAATCCTTGCTAATCAGTAGACGGCTTTTCTCTTACCTCAGCCCCCATTTCTCCTGTGCTACTTAAACATACTAAAACAAATCTTGTTTCTTCCTATAGTCAAGAGGAAAAACTTTTTTGATAATCCTATTTCCACTCTTCATAGAGGTAGAACTCTGGAAAGAATCCTGCGACTGGACTGCCTTAGTTTTTCTCAAGTTTGGCACAGAGAAAGTCTAGGAAAAATCATGCAAAAATAAGAATGTCTAAGACCTTAATACCTTATGTGTAGGTTTGTTTGTGGAAAAAAATCACCAATGGGCTCTACAGATCATTGGGTAGGAAAACAATATTAGGGGTTCCTAAATGAACTTCTTGAATTCAAACATCCTTTATAAGCATCAAGTTCTTCATTTTAATTTCTTTACTTTTATATATTTATGAATTTGTTTATACACAGTATTTGAGGCAAGATCTCACAATGTAGCCCAAGTGTCTATTTGGAGGCTGGCCTCCAACTTCTGGTCTAGTATTAACTTCCTGAGTTCAATGAATAAGGAATATACCACTGTATCTGACTCTTTTCCTTTTCTTCTTTTTTTTGACTCAAATGCCTGTAAACTAATTTTACAGACAAAATCTTTAAATACAAATTGTTTCCCAAAAGATTTACAAGTGAACATGGTTACTAATTTAGGGAGAAATATGCTTACAGTGTAATTATTCCAAGAGTCCTCTGAGGATGTCACAGTGATATTCCAATCTGTTCAACAAGAAGGAAAATTAGTTATCAATACAAGATTGTGAGGTTTCTTTTTTTACTATATCTGTAAATATTACCCATAAGGCCAGTGGGTCTAATACCTTGTAGCAGTCAGGATTTAACATAGCAGGAGAGTCTCTGGGCCCAAAGTTTTGAACTTTTAGATATTCAAAGCATTTTTGAAATATCTATTTAATAACAAGGAATATATTGTTTTCATTGTTTCTATGTATCTGAATGACACACAGAATCCTCTTCCTGCTGAGTATCTGGCATATATAGGAGTTATAAAATCCTACTAAGAATTCCCTTAATTACATTTCCAGATGCAGGAGCAAATGAGTATATATTTCTAATTTTATCAAATGACAGACAACTCTGTAGGCAACCCATACACACAGTGCCCACACAATAAGTGAAAACACTACAGGTCAATGGAAGACCCTTGTACTGTAAAAGCTAACATTGCCCAGCATGAATACAGTTGGACAACTTGACCCTCCTCAATTCCCATGTTACTGCGTTTACATTTTACTCAGTGTGAGAGCCCTTCCAACAAGCCAAAGGCAGTGACTAAATCTCGAGGCAACAGCTACAGTCTAGGTTCTGATTGTGACTTAGGCCCTTAAGTAAGACCTTCCAGGAATAAGAGTAAGTGACTCAGTAAGGTGAAGTTGAATCTGACAGAATTTAAATTCAGTGCTGATCATGTTCATTAGCAAAGTGACTTTCATACTGCAGGTCCTGGATCTGAGCACTTAGGAATGCATGCTTGAGCATTCAACACTGTGCTGAAAACATTTGTGATGTTACTATTGTGATGTGATGAAGAAGCAGTGAGGAGGAGGAGGAGGATGAATACTATGGAATTCGCTTTAGAAATATCACACCCTTTATCCAATGATAAACACTCAGCAACTTGTCAAAAGAAATGAGCCCAGTATTGGTAGATAAATTAAAAGGTGTCTGTCTCCCAAGAATTATAGTTTCCCCAGTCAAGAAGTGATATAAGTTGCCATGAAATAATACAATGAGATGGTGTGTAAGATTCCTAGCAGGCACAGCTATCAAAGACAGGTGATTGAGGGGCCATGTAATTACCCTTGTCCCTATTTTTCTTGCTTTTGCAAAATGGTCAGCAACAGAAGGTAGACATGGGCTCAGTAAGGAATTAGCCCAGGAACCTCAAGTTACAAACCAAAATCCCAATTGTCTCAACAATACTAGTGACACAGCTTCTCCATTGTCTACTCCACTCTGGAAAGTGCTTCTCTGAACAGGATTAGATGTCATGGCATTACACAGATTGTTTCTCCTCCCCAGTTCCTCACTTCCTTCTTCCTCTCACCAGGGAACAGAGGCAGACAACTGCTCCTTCTGCATTTGGGGAGTTTTGTTGTTGTTGTTTTGTTTTGTGTTGGGTTGTTTTGGGGTTTTGATGTTATTGTTGTTTTTAACTATTTTCATTTTGTTCTGCCTGGAAACTCTAAGAATTTCCCTTTCAAAAGCCAAGGTCACCATCACCGTTTTCTAAGCCTCTGAACTCTGTGAGTTCATTGCATGTGACTTTAAACTAACCGGTATACAGGAAGGCCTGGGTAACGGTAGGCCACATGGGATGAGGAGGCCACAGTTAAGCAGCAACTAAAAATACTGAGTCACACATATGCACATGCAGAGTCCTTCAAGACCTGACCTTGTTTGGATAGAACTCAAGCAAACAATTAGCCAGCTCTGAAACACAAAGGTTAGCATGTAGCATTCTCAAAACTTAACACTATTGTTGCCTTAGAGCTAGCTAGGAAAAATGGCAGAGTTCAGCATCACTTTAGCTGAGCAAGTGAAGACATGACACCTCTCTAGGTTAAAGACAGGAGGTAGTATAGTGTACTCCCTGAATATGGACAGTAAGACCCAATGTTCAGAGTGAGTGAAGGTTAGAGTTTCATGGCTGCAAGTATCTTCCTTGCTGCTGTTGGTATTCTCAACCCCCCTTAGGCCATTCTGGTTGCTATAACAAGATAGCACAGAGTGCGTAAATTAACAACAAAACATATGCATGGGTAAAGTGGAGAGAAGGGCCGGAGGTTAAGAGCACTGGCTTTTCTTCCAAAGGTCTTGAGTTCTATTCCCAGGAACCACATGGTGGTTCATAACCATCTATGATGAAATCCGGTGCCTTCTTTTGGGATGGAGATCTACATACAGGCAGAAAACTGTATATATAATAAATAAATAAATCTTTTGAAAAGACAGAGAGAAAGAAATGCACTGATCACAGTTCTAAAGACTGGGAGTCCCAGATCTAGACACAAACTAACTGGATAACTGGTGAATGCTCCTTTGTTCTTAGATGGTACTTTTTGTGTGTCCCAAAGGGAAGGAAAATGCAAGTCAGCCCCATCAGACCTCTCATAAAGGATCTAACAGCATGCATCAACGTCTTACTCATAACCTAATCACCTTTCAGATACCTCCAGCTCTTAGTCAACTGTACTGTGGATTAAACATTAGCAAAGGAATTAATAGGGAGACAAGCATGCCTCAGTGTGTCCTATTTCTTTCTTAAACATCTCTCTTCATATTGACCCCTGTGCTTAGGATCTGTATTAAGTATCTACTGATAAACAAGCAACTCTCCATTACGTTTACTCTCCCTGACATTGTTTTCCTCAAAAAAAAAAAAAAAAAACAAAAACAAAAACAAACAAACAAACACACAAAAAAAAAACCTCACAACCTCGTTTGGCCCGAATGTTGGTCCGCAATGAGGAAGGGACCCTTGCAGGCTGCTGTGGAAAGTAGCATGAAATGTGCCTCTGTCTTTGCCACCCCTTACAATGTTAGATATGTCTTGTGGCAGAGAGTGTGGGCTCTTCAACACCAGCTTTATCAAGATATGAACTTTCCAAGGGAATCAGAAGGATAAATATAGTTACCTGTAGTGTTATAGAATGGGATTTCTGTCACCTTAGCTGTTGTCTCATATGGACAAAATGTAGTGGTTTCTGGAATGAGAACAATGCAAGAACTGTTTCAGCTATGAAGACAGTTGGCTGCCACCAAGGAAAATGGAAACACTTAACCCAAAATGTACCATCTCCATTTCACACTGCCTCCCCCAACCTTCCTATACAGGAATGTCTCTCTCCTTTCCACTTCTGCATCTGCTGACTCCTCTTATCCAAGATGGCCACTGTCTGTAATTGTTTCACTATCCTGAGTACATGAGGTCTGTGTTGTAATATTCTGGACAATTTTATTGGATTCTAAACTGTTTCACACTTTGCATTCTAGACTCCTGAACGCTTCTGGAACATACAGTTGATAGTAACACATGGAGAATGGGATGTTCACAAAGGATCACGATTTATTAAGACAAGGGGCATTTCACTTTCTGGAAAAAGTTCCTGGAAGTTTCTCACTACCCTCTTCACTACAGGGCCTTATTCAAGGTCAAGATTATTCACACTTCTTTTCAGGGAGATGGGCTCACTGAAAAATGTGGAATAGAGTCACTATTTTATCTCTGAGTTCTTGTCAAGATAACAGTATCATTCTGAAGAATGATGCAGCCTGCCTTACCTTGTGGAATTTTCCTTTCTCCCTCTCTATTTAGAATTTACTTGCTCTAGGTTGGTTGACTGAGTGAGTGACTGCCTGAGACAAGGTCTTTCCACTAATTCCTTTACCAAGAGTGATTTCCTGTTATCTGACTCATCATCCACTTCTCACCAAAGGCTTCCACATGGAACTCTCTAGTGCAGCCCATGTTTCCCTTCCTCCTCCTGGAGTCCCTACATGTTCCCCATGAATAGGTCACTTCACATGAAGAGCTGAGCAGCTTCCCTCTCTCTGAGTCCTATAAATGCCTCCCTTCTCAGAACAACAAAGGCTTTTAGAGTAAGTTGCTGGTGGCCAGACTGGAATTCCTAAACCTGAGCTTCCTCATATCCCCTCAGTGGCCTTTCTGGATCCCCTGCCTCATTCCCACTGATCCTTCCATCTGAACAAAACCCTCCCTCTCTGCACCTCTGTCCTGTTTTACCCTCACACTCAAACATGGAAGAGGATATGATTGTCCTTCTCAATTAAAAATAAGATGACACAAATGTTATATACCCATTTTGTTCTTGGTAAAAGACATAATGAGCTTAACTCATTTCCCCCAGCCCGGGTCACTTTTCTCCATAGTCCTTACAATCTCACATTCTATATTCCATGAATAGAATTTAGGATAGCTAGGAAGAGCACAAGAAGTGGGTGTGAAGATCTGTGTTCTTTTCTTAGAGTCACCAGAGTATTTGCCTTCTCTCTTGGCTGGACCCTTCAATCCTCAACAGCAATCTTTAGGAAACTAACAATAGAAAAATAAGATTCCACCAATACCAACCCTGAAGTGGCCATATGGACACATGAACCAACATTCCTCTTCTAACCCTGTTTTTAATGAAGCCAGGAACTTATGTATGTTCTCCAAACTCAGCCCATGAGCCCACCCTCTTAAGCACCAAACACTAAGTATTGAAGTGTTCTGTCAATGCTGAGGGATCCTCACATTGCTGTAAAACATCCTCAGTTTTATAGGTTGTGCAGCTGCTTTGAACAAAGCGGATTTTCTCACAAACCATCTGCCCTAAAACCCGTTATAACCTAGAGTCCTTTGCAAACTTGGCCTGTGGTCCAGTCCTTCAGGAGTCTGCTGCTTGAATGTACCTGCAGGCCAATGAGAGCTCAGCATAATCAATACCTACTATCAGATTACTCAAAAAGAGCTGTGTGGCTTCTGCTTTGAGAAGCTCTCTAACAGCTGTCTTTTCACTCTGAGATGTAGAAAGGTTGAACCTGAACTTGCCTTCAGGATTACAAGCTATTCCCCAACCTTAAGTCAAGTTATTACCCATTAATAGCAAATCTAAACTCTTACTTGTAGGCAATTTGAAACAGGAACTACATGGACTCAATCAAAATCATGACTATGATAACTATGATAAATCCTTTCCTAATGCATTCAAATTTGATGTGTTTTTTAATTTCTTTTCTTTTTTAAAAAAAATTATTTATTATGTATACAATGTTCTGTCTGTATGTATGCCTGCACACCTGAAGAGGGCACTATATCTCATTATGGATGGTTGTGAGCCACCATGTGGTTGCTGAGAATTGAACTCAGGACCTCTGGAAGAGCAGCCAGTGCTCTTAACCTCAGAGTCATCTCTCCAGCCCCTGAGTTTTTTTGTTTTTTTTTTTTTTTTATTTCTATAAAGGATATTTTTTTTACACTTTTCATGCTACATGAATGAATTAAAAGATCCTTAAAGCAAAACTTTACAAGGCATCCACTGCCTGTTTAAACGGGAGTGTTACGATGTTTTTTCCAGTGAAGATGGAAAAGTGGAAGAAACCCTCCAAACATCTGTGCCCAAGATGGGAGGCCTGACCCTGGAGTTAGGAGAACTAGCTTTCAATTCAAGTGAACAAGGACAGAGTCTCAGTGAATTTCTGTCTCATAACTTCCACCATGAACTTTCTGACTCTATGTCAGTTTCTGTCACTATGAAATAGGGACAGATCCCAGCTATATCAGACAAATGTCTGAGAATTAAGCACTGCATCATAAAGCATGCAGCGTGCTGCCCGGTGCTCAGGAAACACTAAATGCTAGCTTCACTGAACTATGGCCTTAGCTGGGTGGCCCAGTTTCAGAATGTAATCAAAGGGTCCAAAGGGTCCCTATCCTGACTCTAGATCTCAGTCATTCCTTATTTTATTTTTTTAATAAGAAAGTAATGTCCAGCTGGGCCAGATTCCCATGACCTCATCATCTATCCTAGAGCAACAATCCACCTCAGTCTAGCTAGTAGTGAATTCCCTGGGACTGGGACAAAGTCCTGGATGTCCTCCCTCTTCAAGCTCTTGCACAGCAAAGAGGGAATGCAGCTTAGCATTGGAAAATCATTCACCCTGTCAAGCTGTTGTTTGGGAACCAGTTCAGAACCCTTCACCTGTATAGATGCAGTCACTGTGTGTCCTACCACCTCCTATAAGAAGGACCCTGGCCCTGATACACACGTGTTTACCTGGTTTAGTCTGTGTGTGCGCTGGTGTTGGAGGAGTAGAGGTAGAGACTCTGGTTGATGTTGGTCCATGTGTCGTTCTTGTTGAAATAATTGTGGGTCTTGTTGTAGTTGTGGGTCTTGATGTAGTTGTGGGTCTTGTTGGAGGACTTGAGGGAATCTCTGGATTGGAAAATCAAGATGAAACAAGGATCAGTGGAGCAAGAAGAGACAAGAGCTTCTACTGTGAAACCAGTGAGGGGCTGTCCCCAGCCAAAAACTCTCCTCCTGATATTCTATTCTTTGTCATTGATGATAATGTGCAGAGTTCCAGGCCTGGAACTAAGGTGAAGTGGTGCTGGAAGGAAGCAGTCAGCCAAGCACCCATTCTTTTTTGTGTCCCCTGTAAGTAATCTACCTCTATATTAACTGTGCTGGATACAAAGTAAGAGCTTGGGAATGAAGAAATATTGCTTTGAAAACTCTCCCTTATGTGGGATACGGTGCAATCCCTTAATCCGGTGTGATTGTACCTTGAAATAAAGAGAAAAAACTTTGCTGTTTCTACTTTGTGTAAGGAAGTAGTGGGAAAAGAGCATCCCATTTACATGTAATGCATTTATTTATCCATTGGTTTGAGTGATTGTGTAATGTCAGGGGATAGCTTTTCAGAGTCTGTTCTCTCCTTCCTCCATGTGGGCCAAGGGATTGAACTCAGATTATCAGGTTTAGCAGTGAGTACCTATACTCACTGAGCCATCGCACTGGCCCTCAGGATACTTTTCTGTAGCGCATGGGGCTATGTTTCTGTAAAGGGTCAGATAGTGTTTTTGGTTTGGAAACTTAAAAATAGGTGTTCAGTAGCAAGTACTCATGTCAATCAGTTTGAAAGTCATCACTCACAACACAGCAAGGAGTGGGTGTGGCTTGCAGCAATAAATCTGTTCACACTAGTAAATGGGTCTGCTTATAACCTGGTCTGCCCCTAGGCTCTAGCTGGCGGATCCAGTCTAATGCATGAACAGAAGCTTGAGCACAGTATAAAACCTCCCTGGACAATATATATAATATATACATATAATTTAATTTTCTTGTATTTATTGTATTTATTTATTACAATTTATTCACTTTGTAGCCTCACTGCAGCCCCCCTCCCTTGCCTCCTCTCAGTTCCACCCACCCTCTATCTTCTCCTCCTATGCCCTTTCCCTAGTCCCCTGATAAGGGAGGACCTCCTCCTCTTCTATCTGACCCTAGCCTATCAGATCTCATCACAGTTGGCTGCATCCTCCTTCTCTGTGGCCTGGCAAGGCTGCATCCCCCAGGGGAAAGTGATCAAAGAGCCAGCCACTGAGTTCATGTCAGAGACAGCCCCTGTACCCCTTGCTAGGAAACCCACTTGGAAACTGAGCAGCCTATGGACTTCCTCTTAACAGGGGGTCTAGATCCTCTCCATGCATTGTCCTAGTGGAAGGAAAGGCAAGCATGAAAAAAATCTAGTCAGAAGATCACTATGAGAACAAAACCCAGAAAAGAAGCAACCAACTCAGGGCCCTTTCTTTCTTGCTCTGAGGTATTTTTTTGTTTTGTTTTTTCTTTTTTTCCTCCCAGGTAGATGGGAAAGTACAGAGGAGCCGATGAGAGCCCCAGGACAGCTGGAAAAGGAAGCTCAGTGTGTTTAAATCATGAGAAAATGTGACTTGGTTGTTAAAGAAAGAAACAGAGGCCAAATAACTGCGCACTCACCAAGTAGTTAAACTGTGGCTTTGTAAGCCCAGACCTGTTAATGAATTCCTAAGCTGTTTAAAAGCTTCAATTAATTAACTGAAATTAACAATTTTTATATTATGATGCTATGCCTATCCCTTTTTGGTGCTGGGATTTTGACTCCAGAGGTTTATGCAAACATGTGTACTAGACAAGTTTATTCCCAAGCTACAACTTCAGCTCCTAATTTGTTATTATTGCTTACTTGGAGTTCTAAGGACAGAACCTAAGCCTTCAGGCATGCTAGACAAATTTCTACGCATTCCCTATGGCATTCTTTTTAGAGATTTCTCTCTTTCTGTCTGTGTCTGTCTCTCTCTTCCTCTCTCTCTATATCTGTGTGTGTATGTGTGTGTGCATGAATGTGGGTTTATTCTCATGTGGGTGTGTACCCATGGAGAATGGAGTCATTCAGCTTCAACTAGGTAAGAAATATAATTTCACAACTGCGAAATGACACTCGGGACCTTACTGTCTCTTCCCCCAGTGATGCCTCCAACGTCTTCTTTGCACACTCTGTGACCAACTTCTCCTGGGTTCCCTATATTGCGTTCCAGGCACAGTGTTGCAAGACATTGTTTGCCTCATCAGAAAGGTATAAAGAGAAACCAACTCCTTGAGTTTGCCCTTTGACAAAGCCATCATGGTTTACATACACACAGGCATCACTCACATATATCCACAAAATAATACAGTTATAAAAATCAAATTTAACATAAAAATAAATGAATATATGAATGAATACAAAGTTTAGAAACTAAGAAACTACATAATAACGATTTAATTTTTGAAAAAAATATAGAGACAGGTTAGTATTGCTTTCCACTGTCAGTGCAAGTGAGTCCTTAGTAAAAAGAGATTAGGATTAGGAACAGCACCAGAAGCCAGGAAGTCCTCATGAACCCACTTCTTCAGTCAAAGCAAACAAACAAATAAAAAAAAATCCATAATCAAGAGTGAAAATGTAAAGCTCACCAGTGACACGAACCTTTATTCCCAGCACTGGAGAAGCAGAAGCAGGAGGATCTGTGTCAGTTGGAAGCTAGCCTGGTCTACAGAGCAACTTTCAGAACAGGTAGGGCTACACAGAGAAAACCTGCCTCAAAAGAAAGCAAAAAGGAAAGAAAGGAAAAAAGAAAGAAAGAAAGGAAGGAAGGAAGGAAGGAAGGAAGGAAGGAAGGAAGGAAGGAAGGAAGGGAAGGAAAAAAGAAAGAAAGTCCAGATCTGGGGTTTTCATGAATTTCTTACTATAAGAGCATGGGCTTGTGCCTTTAGATCAGATCCCACAGCTGGAAAAGACCAAGCCACACCTCCCTGCTCCTCCTTGAGACACAGTTAAGATCTCTGTTATATGCCCTAACAGCAGACCCTGATTTATGGACCTAACCAACTTCTGACTGCTCCACGCTCTGTCCTTTATGTTATGGTGAACTAAATCACATGATAGCAAACTTCCATCATGAGAAAGTTATAAAATCAAACTTTCCCTTTGCGCTGGGGTCTCAGACTCCTCAGGAGAAGATCATTTGGAAGGCTGCTCTTTGAAGAGAATCCTCTACCTGCCCTGCCATTCCAGTCATGGCAGCTACCACTCTCTATTCCTTCTTATCTCTCTCTCACACACATTCTCTCTCTCTCTGTAAAAAATAAAATGAGTTCAAGCAGTTAAACTCTCTCAGAGAGGGCAGCAGCAAAAAACAACAGAGACTCAGTGGAACGTGGGGTTTGGTGAGGTTTATCCTCAGTTTTCCTCAATGAGATTCTTTAGTGAGGAGCTGTGAACTCAGGCTTCATACCTGAGTCCTGTCATCATACGGCACTCCCCTGTAAGTGGAGAGTAAGCTTTAAAGGATGCCAAAGTTGACCTTAAACCATAGTGACTCAGGAAGACTGCATAGCTCAAGTTAATAAAGAAAGCTTCCATCATCCCGTGAGAAGGCTCAGGGGGTCAAATGTAGGAGGGAAAAAAAAAGTATTCCTTCTTCCTTTATTTTTTTTCCAAGACAGGGTTTCTCTGTGTAGCCTGGGCTTTCCTGGACTTGCTTTGTAGACCAGGTTGTTCTTGAACTCACAGAAATCTGCCTACTTCTGCCTTCCTGAGTTCTTGGATTAAAGGCATGCACTGCTGTACCTGGCTATGGTCTTGCTCTTAAAGAAGCTCCTCTCCACGTTTTTTTTTGTTGTTGTTTTGTTTTGTTTTTTTGGGTTTTTTTTTGTTTTTTGTTTTTTTGGTTTGGTGTGGTTTGGTGGTTTGAATGGCCTATAAGCACGCTTATTTATTTATTTGTTTGTTTATTTATATCTACTTTAATCCTGATGGTAGCCCCCTCTTTTCTCTCCTTCAAGGTCCTACCCTCCCTCTATTTTTCCCCCTATTCCCTCTCTCAGGGTTTACTGAGAAGCCCACATCCCCTGGAAACCTCTTCACACCCCCATCAAGATATGAACTTCATATATTGTGTTGTTTCTGTCTAATGTTCTCCCTCCCAACTCGAGGTCTAATCATGGCCTCTGATTGAGTATCTTCATTCTAATAAAGTTCACTGGAGGGAAGTGTATATCAGAGTCTATTACAGACTCTCCACTGTTGCTCATCTGTCATTACACTGAGGGATGACCAAATGGAAGGTGAGTGCAGTTTCATGAACAAACAAGACTGTCCCAAGTACAGTTGGGACATGGATGCTGACTTAGCTAATGGTTTTGTATTAATGTCGTCGATTTTAGGACCTCATCCAATCAAATAAGGTTGTTCTGCTACTCAAAAGAGAATATCTAAGGGTTTGGTAGCATATGTCTGTATTCTCAGGACATGAGATTACCTTCTTTTTTAAAAAATCAAAAGCAAGTGTTTAATGTCCAACATGTTCAAAGCCCTTCTGTTAAAGGAAAAGACCAAATTATTAGCAAACTGAACTCCATTCACTTGCAAGAAATAAAAAAAAGAAAGCTTACCTGGTGTAACTTCCAATGAAAAGGTGAATTTCAGATCGTTGAACCATCCAGGTATCTCCACTCGACAACAGTACAGACCACTGTCACTCTGAACAGCGTCCTCTATTGTCAAGGATACATTTCTTTCTGAAATATTCCCCTTTAGCTGGTATCGGGGGCTGCTCCGATAAGTGACTTGATATCCATCAGTCCAGATAAGCGTGTTTGCACACTGAGAAGATGGGCATTCCCCTGTGCCCCAACAGGTGGTTGTGACCCCACGATAGGAGTAATTACATGGAAGTGTGACAGGGTGACCCACCAGCCCCTTCACTAGTCTGTAAGAATCCACAGCACCTGTGATTTCAAAAAGGGAGAAGGGGAGAGATGAAGAATTATTACTGAACATTTTCCTAAAATTTTGTTTTTGTTTCTTTTCAGAAAAATTAAAGGGGGATGGGACTCAAGTGGAATTGAACTTATCGTATTATGAAAGAGAGGTAAGTGCTACACAGCTCCAGCCTCTCCTTATTATTGGTGTTTTTCTTTAGGGTATTTGTGTGTGTGTGTGTGTGTGTGTGTGTGTGTGTGTGTGTGTGTGTGTGTGTGTATGTGTATGTGTGTATGTGTATGTGTGTATGTGTTGTGTATGGAGTGTATGTGCACTGGTGTGTGTGTGTGTGGGTTGAAGGGTACAGGGAATTACAACTTAATTTTTGTTGTTATTACTTGGTGTTTTGAGCCAGGGTCTCACTTTGTAGCCTTGACTGGCCTGCAGCTGGCTGCATAAAACAAGCTGGCTTCAAACTCCCACAAAACAAGTAAACAAAAACCCACTAAGCAGAGATCCCTTCTTATAGTTGGTGACATTCCAGAATTTGAGGAAGACCCACTTGGAAAGTTGACACAGAATGATGCAATTTTAAAAACTGAAGTAATTAAACATAATTCTTATGGAAATGATAGAATAAAAATCCTAATACCAATACCTTCCATGATGACCTTAAAGGAACTCTGAGGGCTGAGGATGTAGCTCAGTGATACAACACTTGGCTAGCCTATGCCAGGACCTGTGCTGAATCCCCTGAGCAGGAAACAAACAAATAAGAACAAAAGAACAAAGCAATGAAGTGTGAGATTCACTAACTAATCGCGTATATGCAGGCCTTGGCTCTGAGTTTGACACATAATCTGAAAAAACATGTTTCTTGTTGGATTAAATAAATATATTTCTTACTGGGAAACACATAAACGGTTTTGCCAAATACCTTGTTTAGTATCACAAATAAAATACATGATATTTTAATTAAGTCATAGAACTGTATTTCATTTCTCATCAATGATCTCAGCTTCCGGGAGGTAGAGACAGGAGGATCAAAAATTTGAGGTGATTCTCAGCTACCTATGGAGTCTGAGGCCAGGCTCAACTGACTTAGAGCCTGTCCCAAAGACAACTGTTACTCGTTCTTTTGCCCTTTTAAAGGAATGTTTTTAGTTAGAATGTTTTTAAGTTACACAATTGACAATGGTTTAAATAAACAAAAAGGCGCAAAGAGCTGTAGTGAAGGCTGACTCTGACCAGCCGCCATGCTTGGAAAGCACTGTTTCTGATTTCTGATTAACCTCTGACTATCACATGCACGCACCTACAACCATCATTACTCGTCTGTCACATACATGCATGTATTCTCACCCATACTTTTCCAACACATGCAGGCACGTGTACTCATCCTTGCTCGTCCATCGCATGTATGCACACGTTTCACCTTCTGCCTCACATGTTCCTGTGGGTCATGTTTATTTAGCTATCTGTTTTGAAGTTCATACAGGTCACACAAGTTTCTTTGGAGCTACAATCTATCATGGTTCTCTGCTCACTACATAGCCCATAATCAAAAATCTCAAGGATTGTCATCTCCTCTGCCTCCGCAGCATGCCCAGATCATCTACTCACTTACCTGGAAGAAGGAGCATGAGGCCTGAAATGAAGAGTTGAGGATGCATCATGACGTTGACCTGAAGGACAGTGACAAGACACTCGGGTTAACTGTGGCTCTCAGTACATCATAACTGAGCAGGTCTCGAAAAACACTGGGTACAGATCCAAACCTTCCATTCACAGAACACTTCCATGCCTAGATATCCTCCTAGGTAAAACAGCACTAATGTTTGCTCAGCTTTATGGAGAATCTGCTCTGAAGTAAGAGCTAGCTAAGCTATTTAAATCCTCATGGAACCCATATGGCAGCTACTTTTAAGCTCATTTATGAAGGATGTTACGTGTCTTCAGATTCTAACTTCTAGATTTCAGATTTTGCTTCTTAATTACTCAACCATAAAACCATGAGTAAGCCTGACTAGTACTTCATTAACTCTGCTTCCGATCAGAAGATTCTCTGACTTACTCTTATAGAGTAAGTCTTAACGATAGTAATAGCTTTCTTGACTCCTCCATAAGCTCAGCATTTATTCCTGTGGCCCCACATTATTTGCACTTAACAGCCTCTACACTTAGAAGAGATCAGAAAATTAATGCTGCAAACTGTTGGCCAAATACTAAGAATTTTAATGAGAGTTATAAAGGACATTAAGGTAACTTTAGAACATACACAACACACATGAGACATAATTACTTTCTGACTAATAAGAAAAGTTGGCAGAACATGACACCAACCATTCTGTCTTTTTAGAGTTCTATTGAAGAAGGGTCATGTCCATAGGTATTCCCTGTCTCACACAGTTGACTACCTTCCTGACACAAGCTCACTGTCACTAGCCATCTCTCAGGGTGTCCTATGGCCTACCTGCTTATAAAATGAAGGGAACAGACAGTAATGGCTAATAGTCTTCCAGGTTCCCAAAGGCAACCTTATTCACATTCTGGAATTCAACTTAGTAACTAGTTGAGATCCACCATGGAGTAAGCACCTTGCTGGTTGCTTGAAATCCTTTTATTCTTGTTTTCACATCTTTGAGAAAAATTTGTGAGTCCATCTCAGCCATCAGATTTTGAGTTGTAGTTCCCTGTTGAAGCTGCCCAGTGATGATCTTCTAGGGAGACGGAGGAGGGATAGAAATCTATATTTCAATAGCTATAAATGGCATCAATTCTCTTTAATCCCCCCAGTAGCCACTTACTTCCAGCCCCTGCATCTCAGCTAACAGTCCTGTGACAATCAGCAACAACTTCTGAAATGTACTGTGACATTTTCACACAGCTAGCCTCCACCAACCCTAAAGCGAAGAATTTTAGAACATTTCATCGATAGAAGAGATTTCTGGCAGAGCTGTGATGGCACAAATCTTTAATCCCAGCTATGGCCCATCTGCCTAATGTTTCAACCAGGATACTTGGAAAATGCATTGATTTATGGCTTCCTATGTTTCCAGGACTGTAAAAATCCACATAACCTCTTCCACAGTGGAACATGATATTCATTCATGACAAACTAGCCTACATCATGGTACTGAGCCTCGGTCATTCCAATTTGGTACAGAATAACTACCTATTTCTGTTGGTAAAAGAGCTACATTTTTCTAATATTTGAAAGTTACATTTAAATATTTTTGTGCCAGGCAGCGCATGATCATGCCAGGGCACCCGTGTGGTCTGAGGACAACTCTGTGGAGTAGGTTCTCTACTATAATGCAGGTCCTGGGTGTTCAGGAATGGTGGCAAGCGCCTTTATCTGCTGAGCCGCCTAATGAGAGCAAGGGCTGGGTGCACTTGGTACTGCCAAGAGCTAGGAGAACAAATGTCAAAGTGTCTCATGCAGGGTTAAAACACTCCTTATTTGATTGCTGAGTAGTATTCTGTTGTGCGAATGTACCACAATTTCTGTATCCATTCCTCAGTTGAAGGACATCTGGGTTGTTTCCAGATTCAGGCTATTATGAATAAAGCTGCTAAGAACATGGTTGAGCAGATGTCCTTGCTGTGTACTTGAGCACATTGTAGATATATGCCTAGGAGTGGTATAGATGGATCTTGAGGTAGCACTATTCCTAATTGTCTGAGAAAGCACCAGATTGATTTCTAAAATGGTTGTACAAGTTTACATTCCCACCAGCAACACAATGGAATACTACTCAGCAATCAAAAACAAGGAAATCATGAAATTTGCAGGCAAATTGTGGGAACTAGAAAAGATCATCCTGAGTGAGCTATCCCAGAAGCAGAAAGACACACATGTTATATACTCACTTATAAGTGGATATTAGACATATAATATCGGATAATCATACTAAAATCTGTACACCTAGAAAAACTAAGCAAGAAGCAGGATCCTGGGTAAGATGCTCATTCAGAAAGGCAAACGGGATAAAGAAGAGGGTAAAAACAAGAAACAAGACAGGAGCCTACCACAGAGGGCCTCTGAAAGGCTCTACCTAGCAGGTATTAGAGCAGATGCTGAGACTCATAGCCAAACCTTGGGCAGAGTGCAGGGAATCTTTTGAAAGAAGGGAGAGATAAAAAGACCTGGAGGAGATAGGAGCTCTACAAGAAGAGCAACAGAAACAAACAAACAAACAAAAAATCTGAGCACAGGGGTCTTTTCTGAGACTGATACTCCAACCAAGAACCATTTTTGGAGATAACCGAGAACCCCAACACTGATGTAGCCCATGGCAAATCAGTGTTCAAGTGGGTTCCTAGTAAGGGGAACAGGGGCTGTCTCTGACATGAACTCAGTGGCTGGCTCTTTGATTGCCTCCCCTTGAGGAAGGAGGCAGCCTTACCAGGCCACAGAGGAAGACAATGCAATCAGTCCTGATGAGACCTGATAGGCTAGGGTCAGTTGGAAGGGGAGGAGGACCTCCCCTATCAGAGGACTGGGGAAGGGGCATGGGAGGAGAAGTGGGAGGGAGGGCTGGACTGGGAGGGGGAGAGGGAAGGGGATATAGCTGGGATAAAAAGTGAATAAATTGTAATAAATTTTTAAAAATTTAAAAAATTTTGAAAAAGAAAAACAAACAAAACACCATGCCTTATTCATTTGAAAGTCAAAATGTTTTCATTCTATTCACTGTAGCCTAAGACCAGGCCAAATTCCAATGTCAATAAGGACCCTTCTCCACTGCTGGTGGGAATGTAAATTTGTACAACCACTCTCGAAATCAATCTGGCGCTTTCTCAGACAACTAGGAATAGCGCTTCCTCAAGATCCAGCCATACCACTCCTAGGCATATACCCAAAAGAGGCTCAAGTACACAAAAAGGACATTTGCTCAACCATGTTTGTAGCAACTTTATTTGTAATAGCCAGAAGCTAGAAACAACCCAGATGACCCTCAACTGAAGAATGGATGCAGACACTGTGGTACATCTATACAATGGAGTATTACTCAGCAATGAAAAATAAGGAAATCATGAAATTTGCAGGTAAATGGTGGGACCTGAAAAGGATCATCCTGAGTGAGTTGTCCCAGAAGCAAAAAGACACACATGGTATATACTCACTCATATAGACATACAACATAGGACAAACCCACTAAAATCTGTGCATCTAAAGAGAGAAGACCCTAACTAAAATGTTCAATCCCCATCCTGAAAGGCAAAGAGGATGGACATCAGAAGAAGAAGAAAACAGGAAACAACTTAGGAACCTGCTACAGAGGGCCTCTGAAAGCCTCTGCCCTGCAGACTATCAAAGCAGATGCTGAGCCTGATGGTCAACTGATGGTCGGGCAGAGTGAATGGAATTTTATGTAAGAAGTGGGAAATAGTAAGAGCTGGAGAGGACAGGAACTCCACAAGGAGAGCAACAGAACTAGAAAATTTGAACACAGGGAACTTCCCAGAGACTAATACACCAACCAAGGACTATTCATGGAGATAACCTAGAACCCCTGCACAGATGTAGCCCATGGCAGTTCAGTGTCCAAGTGGGTTACATAGTAATGGGAAGGTTACATTAACCTGATTGGCCTGCTCTTTGATCACCTCCCCCTGAGGGGGGAGCAGCCTTACCAGGCCACAGAAGAGGACAATGCAGCCACTTTTGATGAGAACTGATAGACTAAGAAGAAGAGGAGAACCTCCCCTATCAGTGGACTTGGGGAGGGGCATGCATGCAGAAAGGGGAGGGAGGGTGGGATTAGGAGGGGAGGAGGAGGGGCTTATGGGGGGATACAAAATGAATAAAGTGTAATAAATTTAAAAAAAAGGTTAAAAAAAAGAAAACATTTTTATTTCAGTTGCAGTTATAACTGGGAATTTGGAGAAGTACGATTCAGCACAATGGGGATGTAAAATATCCAGAACTGTGCAAGCAACTTACACGGTAAGTGAACTAACAGATAACTTCACAACAACGAGACAGATGGCAAACGCATAACCAGACCATGCCATGTCGCAGCAACACTGGCTCACAGCTCTCTCAAGGAGCAGGGAGCCCAGTTCCTTACCCAGAGTTTTTGTAAAGTCCCACTTGTCCTGTCCCTGCCTGGGGCTCAGATCTACTGTCCGGACCACCTGTCCCACAGCCCTAGGGCTTTCTTTCCTATTCATCTCCTCAGGTCTTTGTCCAAAAGGTACTCTGCCTTGGCTCTTCTTCCTTACCCACATTTCTCACTGTTTCTCCTTCCTTCATTGATCCCTGCTTAAATGTCTGGGGCATTCCCCCTGGACCACCTGTCCAGCCCTTCTCCCAGGCCTCTGTTCCTCGTGGCTGTCATGTCCTTGTTTCCCAGAACAACCACCAGCGTGGGTGTGATGAACTGCTCTCTGCATCTCTTCCCTCCTGGTCAGTGGCACCCAGTGGAACCTTGTTTGTTTGCATTTCTTTACTTCAGCAGAGCTAACATAAATTCAGGAAGAAAAAGTGAAATACAGCTCTCAAGAGTAGGAGGTATTCCTTCTCATGGTGAGGAATGCCCTAGAACCCCTTTTTGTTTCACTTTATAAAACATGGTTTCCAATCAGATTATGTCAGAGGCAGTCCCTCTTCCCATTACTATGTAATCCACTTGGACACTGAACTGCCATGGGCTACATCTGTGCAGGG